TGTGACGCGCGGAATTTCGAGGGGGTTGGGGTTTGCCTTAGTTGGCCGGTTCCGCCCGGGTTTGGAGGGGTCGCGGACGCGTGGCTCTTTTAAATTTCGAACGCGCGTCACTTTCCCACCTTTTGCCGCTTTGAGCGCCTGAGCGCCAGCTCAGGTGCGGCCGGTGTAGCAGACGAAGGGGTCAGCTGACCGGCCGGGCCAATGGGTGCGAGCGAGAGCGAGTGAGGCGAGCGGGGGACAGCGGCCGGACGCTGGACCTCGGTCACTCGGAGAGCGACACTGCTGAGAGAGCGGTCTGAGGGGTCTGCCTCGGAGAGACCCAAGCACCTGCCAACTATGTTGTTTTTCTGACATCCGTGCACCACCCGCACATTGTGCTTGGTGAGTTCGAAGGGTTACTTTCCAAATCCTAATTTATTAGTGAGACATCCGAGTGCTAATGTTGCTGTTCCTTACAGGGTCTTTTAGTGTTACCGCGTTTTGGTACTCACTTTGAGCTTTTCCCGTTTGGGTTTCTCGCCTATGGCGTTGCTGCGCTGTTGCGCTCTGGTCTGCGGGAAGGTGGGCTAGGCCCTCAAATTCACCGGCGGTCCGCCCGTGACGTCGCCGGCAGCATGACGTGTGTGACGTTGTTGTCGTCTCCGCCCGCCCCGCCGGGGCCGGGTCGGTTGTTTTGGAAGCACTCTCCATCACCGCATTTGTTACTCGTGTGAGTTTTTGGTTTCTGTAACCTCGTTTCAATGAATTAGTATCTTTCTGGTTCCGCGGCGGTACGTTCAGTTCTGTTTAACTTTTGCGCTTTGCTTCACTCCTTTGTTGGTGTCTCGGGGAGGGCGCGGGTGTCGGCGAGGCCCTTGCACGTTGTTGTATGCGGCGTGCCCGGCTGGCTCCCCCTCCCTCCTCGTTGCACTTGGGTTTAGTTTTTGTCCTTCAGGGATATGCGCTTTTTGAAGTTTCGTATGACGTACCGTCCGCGGACCGGTTGGGTTGCCTGCCCTCCCGGCGCGTGTTTAAGGGGTTGCCTAACTGTCAGTCAGTTTTCTGAGTTAGTTCTAGATATTCGATTTGTATAACTTCTGATGTAAGTTTATGTTATCTAGTCCTTGTTGGAACGGCATCCTTTTCTGTGTGTTTTGGGAAACACCTTTAGTAATATCTTTTGTATCGACCAGCTGCTATTTATCGCCTTGTGTGTTGTCACTCTAGTCTTTGTTTTAATAAAGAAACTTTGCTACATTGTATTCGTGATGTATTTTGGAGAGATAATAGTATTTATCTCTGGCGCCCATAAAAATAATCCAGAGACTCACGCCACTCTACCATATTTTGGTTCAAACTGAGCTAGTAGGCCAACTTAGTAGCCTGACAGAAAGTGCACGTTACATTTTGGCGCCCAACGTGGGGCCCTACGGCGTTTGTTCTTCTTTTTGATGCTGCTGGTTTTATTTTTCAAATTATGCTGGGAAGGGGTTTGGCCTTTCTTAGGTTACTTGTGAGTTATGTCTTGTACATTTAGTGTACTTGTTTTGCTGCGGTGATGTTTGAGGTGGGTCGTTGGGAGTGGACTAGATTTGTGTGGAACTTGTGCAGAATTTTAGATTCTTGTTTTGTGAACGCTCTTTGAGTTTCTGTATTTTGGGATTTCAGAATATTTTTCTGGTGGGCTTTGTTGCTTTGTGCAACGCCATCGGTGTTGTCCTGTATGTCTAGACCAGGCTTCATCCGACTTTCCTTCGGGGAGCTTTGTCTCTCGCTTAGGTTCTGCGATTTTGTTTCGCTGTTTTGGCTCTTAGCTGGAAGGGTACCGTTCCGGCGGTACGATCTCCCTTCGGAGCTACGTAAGGGTAGTGTTTCCTGTGTGTGCACTATTGTCCTTTGGGAGCATTTTGGTTGCCCAGTCTCATTTCTAACAAAGAGGCGTTTCGGTGTGAGTCGACATTTGTGCTCAACCGATATCACAATTATTGTTTCCTTGGAACCGTTTGGTTTTCTATTTGTCCACTCCCGGGGTTGAGTTTGTTATAGATACTATTTAATTATTTTTGTAATGCAATTAGAATACTGCTGTTTTGTATTTTTGCTAATTTCTGTCTTTTGCTTTTGTCGAGGTACCGAGTGATGACGGGAATGGAGAGAGACTTCTTTTTCAAGCTATTTTCAAATTTTCTGCTGCTGGGGACAGAGCGTGGAGGACCGTCGGGTGATTCTATTGCTTGCAACCCTATATCTGGGGGTTTTAGTGCCGGTAAGTGAACAGTGTACTTTAGCATTTCGGATGTCTCTCACTTCATTTTGTTCGAACTGTTTGTTCGTTTATCAATTGGGTTTAGGATAATTTTAGCGGCTTTATTTTGGGGCTCTTAATTTTCATGGGGTTCATTGGGTTTTACCGAGGTAGACGTCGCTCTACTTCGCTTTCGCACTTAGTTTTTCTCTTGATTCTCGGCCGGGGGATAGGGGAAGCTAATTAGCATTTTTTTGGTCAAGGTTGAGATGAGGGCATCTCCTCATAAGGTAGGGGGGGATGTGACGCGCGGAATTTCGAGGGGGTTGGGGTTTGCCTTAGTTGGCCGGTTCCGCCCGGGTTTGGAGGGGTCGCGGACGCGTGGCTCTTTTAA